TATATGTATCCCCTCTATTAAGTAGAAACAAAAAGGTGTTTTAAATGTTTAACATTTTAAATTAACGGCTTGTTTTCTTGCTTTCAGTACTGAAATGAATTCCATGTATGTCAGGATTACATCTTATTGTGTCTACTTTCTGAAAATGTACTCTGCACATTATATTATGGCAAACTCTAAAAATTAACACTGAACTAAAATAATCAGGACAAAAATAAAAAAAAAAGCCTTGAAAATGGGCTAAATATTCTAGTCAAAAAATTTATCAAGGAGTCAAGAAGAAAATAAAATCAATTATCTCATTGCTCAGAGGTTGCTAACAAAGCCAATTTGACTTTACATTTTGGTTTGTAATAAAATCTATTTAAATTCACATTTACAGCTTAATAATAATTTTCTGACATTAAAAAAAGAATCAAAAGTATTTTTCCCAATAACTTTCATCCCTTTAAAGTTAACTTGTCCAAAAACAATAAATAAACCTCAGATTAACTGATTTTGATGTCAGATGTTTTAGCATCAGCAGCGTCTCCAACACCAAAATACCGGTAAGGAAAAAGTTTCTCAGTGAAAGTGTCTCTGTGAGTGTAGATGTGAGACATGTCTTCAGGGTCATAGAAGGACACCTCCCCCCTGTCATAGTCCAGCTGGACTCCGATCCTCTGGAGACTCTTCTTCACTTTGAGAATCTGACCAGCACCATTAGTGTATATTCCATTACAATGCCACAAACCCCAGATTCCATATTCTGGTAAAGCCTTTCTCTCTCCCTTCCTGTCAACAGAATCTTTAACAAAACCAACCTCCACCTCCCAGCTGTGTTTCCCTGAGCTGAAGCCCACAAAACCAAAAACACTTCCTGTATGCTTTTTTCTATTGTTTGGTTGTGGTTTTGAGCAGTTAAAGAAAAACTAAAGTCCTTTTCATTGTTCAACCTGCATCAACCTGATCACTGAAATTTAAGTTAATTATGAACTAACAATGTCAATCTAACGATTACTTCAATCAGAGCTTTAAATGAACACATTTAACAAAAGTGTTAAAATTTGCAGAAAACTGCAAATGTGCTAAAATAATTAGTTTCTCGAAATCAAGGTTAAAAATCTGTTTATTTAGAGTCTTTAATTTAATTTAAACTGTTAATTGAAATATTATTAAATTTAGTTTCTATGTTTCCAACTCTTTTTTACCTGCCTTTATTTCTTTTAATTATATGTGCTTCCATTTCTTATGATTTATTCATGTACAGCCCTTTGAATTGTTAAACCACAGATTTACTGATTTTGATGTCTGATGTTTTAGCATCAGCAGCTTTTAAAACATACAAATAAGGAAATAGTTTCTCAGTGAAAGTGTCTCTGTGAGTGTAGATGCGAGACATGTCTTCAGGGTCGTAGAAGGACACCTCCCCCCTGTCATAGTCCAGATAGACTCTGATCCTCTGGAGACTCTTCTTCACTGTGAGAGGCTGACCAACACCATTAGAGTATTTACCATTACAATGCCACAAACACCAGATTCCATATTTTGGTGAAGGATCTCTCTCTCCCTTCCTGTCTACAGACTCTTTAACCAAACCAACAGTCCATCCAGGATGATCTCCAACCTCCACCTCCCAGCTGTGTTTCCCTGAGCTGAAGCCCTCAGAACCAAAAACACTGGGGCACTTAGTGTTTCTCTCTGGATTATCAGGAAGCTGCTGCCATGTGTCTCCTTTTCTCACACTAGTCAGATCATCAGACAGATGCAGCCATCCATTAGCAGTGTTTGGGTCCAGAATGACAGGACTGAAGTGGACCTTGTCCTTCATCTTCTCCCAGACTCTGAAGGACAGGTTGCCCAGGTGTTTGGCCACATCTATCAGAGCTCCTGAGACCAGCTGTGGATCTGACAGTGAGCTCTGGGCTCTGGCTCTGCTCTGAGTGGCTTTATAACTGCTGAGGAACGACACCTGGTCTTTCTGCAGGTCTTCTTCAACAGCAGAGATACTGTCTGACAGAGAGGAGATCTGCTCCTGAATCCTCTTCATCTCTCTGCTGATAGTCTTCCCCTTCTGCTCCTCTTCCTCCCTCAGAGCTGCCAGTCTGGACTCCTCTTCCTCTCTCAGGAACTGGTGGAGCTTGTTGAACTCTGCTCTGATCTGTCTCTCTGTGGACAACTGCTGCTTCTTAGAGTGTTGAATCACATCATTGTATGTTTTATCCACCTGTTTGTGTTTGTTCCTCTTGTCCTGCAGAGACTTTAAGTCAGATTTCAGCTGCTCCTTCAGCTCACTGACTGCTTGTTCTATAGGAACCACTTTGTGACTCTGGTGGAGAGAAAACTCACAGACAGGACACACAGCTCTCTGCTCGTCTTTACAGAACAGTTTAGGGTCTTCTTGGTGTTTACTGCAGACCACCATCAGCTGCTTTTCTCCTCTTTCTGTCTCAGATGATCCAGATTTCTTTCCTCCTGCAAAAGTATCAACCAGTTCCTTCAGACTAAAATTCAGTGGCAGAGCTTCCTTAGAAGATCTTCTTTTACAGATGGGACAGTTCTTGTTTCCAGTTTGTTCCCAGAATTTCTTCAGGCAGCTTGAACAGAAGCTGTGGTTGCAGCTCAGAGACACAGGATCTCTGAAAGTCTCTGAACACACATGGCAGCTCAGGAAACTTTCAAAAACTCTCTCTGCCATTTTCTAATGAATTATTTCAACAGCAGGACTCACCAAAGTTTCAGCTTCTTAAAATCCTCCAAATATTTCTCTCGTTTTCCAGCAGAGATCTAACACCCAGTAATGGCGTCTCAGCTCAGTTCAATAACGTCTGTAAATACTTTCACTTTCTTTAACCTGTTTTTCAAGTTTTAAATAAAATCTTTCAATCTTTAAATGAAATCTGTCTTCTCAGTTTGCGTCCAGCAGGTGGTGCTGTTGCAGCATCTTTCACAGCTAAACGGTGAACTTTCTATTGCTAAAGACAATCGTAAGTGGAACATTTTCTTTCTTACTATTCTAATCGACTGTTTAACATTTCAACTTACACTAAACAAATATATTAATATTAATAAAATATATTTGAAGGAAGGGTTTTGCCAGTTTGTTTTTACCTGTTAAAGAATCATTGCTCTTCAGATGTTTTTAAAATGTTTCTTCTTTAATTTCAAATTACATAAAACGTATAATGATCAATTTAAAAGTCAAACTGAGGAAATATCTATTTTGTTTTTTACTCCATTTTGTTCTCTGTAGAATAATAAACAATTTCAGGCATATCTGTTTGTGTTATTTTTCTTTTGTTCCCTTTTTCACATTGAAAAATAAACGGGGATGTTTGAAATTACTTAAAATGAATATTTACCTCAAAAAACTCAACATATATTTTACAGTAAATATATGAAGACAGACACCTTTAAGAAATCCATGAACCTCTGCTCCATTCTAAGCCACATTACTCTTTGTTGTTTTTTTCTTTATAATCACACTTTCTTTCATTAACATTCTTTTATATTTTTATTTTTTATCCTGTTCTTGCCTCCTTTAAGCCTGTATGCTTTTTCTATGGTTTGGTTGTGGTTTTGAGCAGTTAAAGGAAAACTAAAGTCCTTTTCATTGTTCAACCTGCCTCAACCTGATCATTGAAATTTAAGTTAATTATGAACTAACAATGTCAATCTAATGATTACTTTAATCAGAGCTTTAAATGAACACATTGAACAAAAGTGTTTTGCAGAAAACTACAAAAGTGCTAAAACAATTAGTTCCTCTAAATCAAGGTTAAAAACCTGTTTATTTAGAGTCTCTAATTTGATTTAAACTGTTAGTTTCTATATTTCCAACTCTTCTTTACCTGCCTTTATTTGTTTTAATTCCATGTGTTTCCATTTCTTATGATTTATTCATGTAAAGCACTTTGAATAGTTTTCTTTCTAAACTGTTTAATATAAATGAAATAAAATGAGCTTGTCTTGACTGTTTTCTCACTGCTTTCATTGAAAGAGTCATTAATAAACTCTTAGAGATGAATCAGATCATTTGCATCAATTTCTGTCCAGTTAACTGTAAATCCATCCTGATCTCAGTGTCACATATTTGCTGTTGATCCAGGAGGAAAAGCAGTTTAGAACCACAGCTGGTTTGTGGACTTTGTCATATTGAACAGAACAACTTCCTACAGGATGAGTTTGATGATCCAGAGATCAGAACATGAAGTCATTGGACCGAGTCGTTCAGTTTACTGTGAGAAACAAGAGAAAATTAAAGTCCTTTCTGTTTTCTGCTTACTTTCCTAAGAATTTACTTCAGTAAAGATTTTCTAATGTTGAGACTTCTGGGGGTTGTTGAAAATGAGCAGGTATGCTGGTTGTTTTATAAAATATTATTTACTGACAGACTGGATTAAAATAATCTGATCCTTCACAGGAACCATCATCCAGGTTAGAGGTCCATATACACCTGAAAGCTTTTTTTCTTTAGGCAGCTTGAGCAGAAGCTGTGGTTGCAGCTCAGAGACACAGGATCCCTAAAAGGGACACATGAAAGCTTTTATTTTGTTTTTACTGAGCCTCAACAGCTAAACTCACGCAAAAGTTCCAGCTGCTTCTATCTAAATCGCCTAAAATGCAGAGATCCAACAATAGATATCAGTAGATATAGATATCTTCCTCTCCACTCAAAACACTCTTCCATATAAAAACTCGTTCACAATCAAACCTCACATTCTGAAGATACATACAAGCATACAAAACATACAGAATATACAGAACTTAAAAATACATTTTATCTATATTTGGTGAAGTAAATAAAATAACACAAAAATTCATGAAGTCGAAGAGCCTGTTGATAGTAAGAAAAAAAACTGAATTTAAAGACAGGGGGCGCTGGTCTAAAGTAAATAAAACATCTGTTTTCTTTGGACAGGCTGTGAGAATAGCTGTCAGAAATGAGCCAATTAAAAACGGTAAAACAACACATGTCACCTAACAAAGAATATGATTGGTTCGCTGTCACGCAATGGGCGGGGCTTTTAGATTCCAGACATTTGACATAGGAAGTGGCTGTTCATCTGAACCCAGCATCACACTCTGGTGGATTAACTGCTCGTTCTTCCTTAAAACGCTCTGGAATAAGGTAGATATAACCGCTTTGAACCTGCTGACTTGTTGAGAGTCTAATTATTTAAGTTAAGAACTAAGTAAAGCAATATTCGCTGCTGGGCATCTCCTTGTGTAACTGTGTTAGCTGAGTGGCTAACAGCTCGTTAGCTTTATAAGCAGACTTAGTTTAAGTGTAATTTAAAGTTCTTCTGGTGGTTTTATCTGCTTTAATCCGTTCTGTAATATATTGTCTTCATTATCCTCCTTTGTCATTTAATAATGAATGAAGCATGAAGTTTATTTACGGCTCCGCCTCCTTTTCTCTTATCTCTCTGCTTCTGCTTATCTTTTCTGCTGCATAACTGAAGTCAGAGGTTCAGTGACGCCCAAATGTTTTTATCTTTAACTCCCTACTTTTGCTTAAATTTTTTCAACGTCAAATAAACAGTCAGAAAATAGAGGAAAGTAAAATGTGTTTTTACTTTAATATTATCCAACAGTTGAAGATAACTGATGGTTAGCAAACTGCAGCAGAAGGTTTTAGTTAACATGGTTTCAGGAGGAAAAACAATTTAAAACTCTCAAACCTTTTCCACATTATTTATGTTTTATTGAAAAAAATAAATGTTCATGATGAGAGAATGAAGTATGAATTTATTTTCATTAAGTTTACAAATCCTTATAGTGTTGCTTAAATTTTATTCATGTCCCCTAAATTAATGCTTTCTAGAAAGACCTAGATCCGTAATGACCCAAAGGACAAGATCACGAATTCAAGAAATGAGTTTCCTTCGCAAGGTGGCTGGGCGCACTCGTGGAGATCAGGTTAGGAGCTCAGGTACCCGGGAGGAAATGGGAGTCATTGCTGTTTCACGTCGAAAGGAGCCAGCTGAGGTGGCTCAGGCATCTGTTCAGGATGTCTCCTGGTCGCCTCCCTAAGGAGTTGTTCCAGGCATGTCCCATTAGGAAAGCCCAGGACACCCTGGACGGACTATGTCTCTGAGCTGGCCTGGTATCGCCTCGGGGTATCGGGATTCGCCATCGGGAAGTCTGGTGGCCTAATAAACTAGCCCCAACCACCAGCAGCCAAAATCATTTTTGCCTGCAAGTTGATCTAGCCTCGATCGATGCCCCAGGCCCTAGAACTGACGGACCAATCACACCGCAGAGATGTGTTTTGAATTTCTGGATGCAAAACGAGCGGGGTTTTGAGGGCGGGACGACAAAGCTGTGCAACACTGGAGAAAGCACAACAAGGAAGATGGAAGCAACTATTAAACAGTTCTCGTTTGACTCAGCTTTGGAATCAGTTTAGGAAGGATTAGACTTGGGGGTTTTTGTTGAAACGTGAGCAGGAAGAGGCTCTACGCTCATTCATTTTTAGAAGGACGTACTCGCCATTTTCCCCACCAGCTTTCTGTCGTGTTTACTACGTCACAGTCAGTGGTGCTCATTGGTCAGAGCGTTGGCCAATAGGCACAGACATGGTTTGAAAAATCTTCCGATGTCTCTTTCATCGGGGCCAGACGAAATTACACCTTTAATCTCACATTTATTCTGGTTCATCAGGCTAGAAGTCTGGGCATCTTTGCTTACTGCTGCCTCTGCAACGGGCCATGGTTAAGTGGAAGTGGATGGATGGATGGATGGATGGATGGATGGATGGATGGATGGATGGATGGATGGATGGATGGATGGATGGATGATGGATGGAAGAAAGAAAGAAAGAAAGACCTTCCTTGCAGTAATGGCTGCCCATCCTTTGGCTCATCAGGAAGACTCAACCTCAGTCAGATCGGATGGAGAGGTTCTGCAAATATGTATTTTCCAGTCTTAATAAACATTCCTATATAGATATATCCCTCTCACATCTCTGGTGTTGGTACTAGTTTTTCACATTTCCATTACTGTAAAAATGTGTATATTGATTATTAGTTATTTCCAGATGCTCAGTATTTTTAGTGTTAAAACAGTGTATTGTTTAGTATTTTGTTTATTTTCTTAACTCTGACACTTATTCTGTTATTTTCATACACATTTTTTTAAAGGTCCTCACTGGTGTGACAACTTTTCCTATAATCCTTTGCTGCTTTAACACCACAGTTTCCACATTCTGGGACAATAAAGGGATTTTCTATTCTCTATAGGTCTGGATTTAGATTGGACTTTTCTAACGCATGAATATGCCTTAATTTAAACCATTTCACTGCAGAGCTGGCTGTAGGTTTAAGGTCATAGTTTTACTGAAAGGTGAACCTTTGCTCCTTTCTCAAGGCTTTCTCAGCCTCTAACTGATTTTTTTTTTAAATCTTCACATGAACTTTTACTGACTTTAGAAATAGAAGCACCCAGAGCATGATGCTGCCACTACCACATGTGGGTGGCAGGTCATTTGACCCCCTTTATACCAATGTAGTCACTCTGGATGATCAATAGATCAGTGGTTCCTGAGCAGCAGGACTGAAAAAGCAACATAAATGGCCTAGTCCAAGTCCAGACATCAGCTTCTTTTTCTTTGTATCATCCAACTGATTGATTGTAACTCTGAGTGTCTTTTTTTTTTTTTTTTGTAGAGTTACCATGGCAACAGAGGGGGAGCCAACAGACTTGATCAAAGTGTTCCACCTGCTGCTGCTCTCGTTCACCTGGGGCATGCAGGTGTGGGTCTCCTTCATTGGAGGTAAGAGCAGCACAAAGCAGGAAGTGCGGCGTGAGGAGTGGTTCTGTTTTAATCCTGGGTTTGGCACCTGTAGGTTTCGCTCTGGTGAAGCAGGTAACGCTGCATACCTTTGGGCTGGTCCAGAGCAAACTGTTTCCTGTCTACTTCTACTGCCTGCTGGGGAGTAACTTTGCCAGCCTGGCTCTGTATGCTGTGTACCACCCCAGAGAGCTGCTGGACTGGCATGAAAGTGTGCAGGTGAGGGTTAATAGCTTTGTTTGGCATCAAAAATCTACATCAGAGAACTTTTTGTCCTCATTGTGTCGTCCTTATCTTCCAGATGGGGATGTTCTTCGTGGCTCTGATCATGGCAGGCCTGAACGCTCAGTGGTTTGGCCCAGCAGCCACAGAGGTGATGTTTCAGTTGAGGGCGGTGGAAGAGGAGCACAGCCTGGGGAACCAGATCGGCTTGGGCAGTCAGAGAGAGGAATACGCTAAGCTGAAGGAGAAGGACCCAAAGTACAGAGCCTCCAAGAAAATGTTTGGACTTTACCACGGCCTGTCCAACCTCTGCAACCTGATAGGCTTCATCTGCATCACAACCAATCTGATCTACACAGCTCTGAAACTTTCCACCATTTAATGAAGAGGAAAATACAGGAGATACAGACATTAATGCTGCACCTTGAAAAAAGGATTTATAGACTGAAACTCTTCCACATATTGCTTTTGCATAACCACAAACCTCAAGGTATTTATTGGGATTTTAAACAACGAATCAACTCAAAGTGGTGCATACTGGTGAAGGAAAATGTTATGGCAGACATGCAAACCTATCAAAACATGGCCGTCCACCTAAACTGAGAGGCTAGAAAACTATTAAAGTAGTCTTTAACGAATGTTACCTGCATCTGTTAGATGGATAACAGGTCAAAAGTCAAGTCTCCTCCTGAATGTTCCAGCTTCTACAGTTCGGTTTTATGGCCCCTATTTGATTAAAGCTGGTGACAGAGGCCACCAGATAGTCAGGAAAAGTCTCCATTGGTCTGTGCTAGTTAGTGCTATGAGATAGCACGACGATTCAGCCTAAAAACTGGCTAGTGTGAGAGAAAGTCAGGACCAGGATGTTAAAAATACTCTGCTGAATCTAAATGCAGTCTGGCAATATGGACTGATCACAGACCAACATAAGGAAGCTGCTACCAGCAGCTAAAAGCCTCATTTAGAGTCTCAACACAGCGCATATGTAAAAAACCAGAAGGCATAATAGAAATGTCAGCTAACTCATTTAAAAAAGAAGCAACAGGTGAGCCGTTCTGCTATTTAATACTTAGTTACAATAAATTGGCCTTATTCAAATTCACTTTGAATTTGAAATCAAATGATTTTTTTTTTTTTGAGGTTTTTCTTGCACCCGTGGCCATTTTTTGTTTATTTTTTTGAACAGTAGACTGAGAGAAGGGGTATGAGAAAGGGGGAAGGAACAAAGGCCGGATTCAAACCCGGTTCAGCCACAATGAGGAATAAGGCCTATGAGTTGTTTGCACTACCACTGTAGCCTGGGTGCCAGTCCGAACTTAGTCCCGCCCACAAGGTTTGAGTTCGGGGAAGTTCGGTCTGGCTCTGCTCCATAGTAGCGCGAGTATGATCGCCCACTGTCAGGCGATCCAATCAAATTGTCAGGGCGGGCTTTATACGATGATGGACAGATGATCAACAGTAACGTAATCCACCACGTGACCAATGCGCGCTTGGGTGACAACAACAATGGCTGCCGCCAGAGAGTTGAGGTGAGTAGATTCTGCTATTAGGTCTGTTCTAGAAGATATCGACAGCAAATTAATTTTAAAAGAGGAACAGAGAAACGCAATCAAGGCTCATCTTCTTATTCTAGGCGTGCAACTGCACGCTTTGATTTTTGTGGACAACAACTATGCCTCGCTTAACATACGTCACACACTCCGTTGCTCTTATTGGTTGTAGATCTATCCAATTGAGTGCAGAGGCATTTTTTTTCCTGGTTCGTTCGAAACACGCCCCATAATCACAGCTCTATGGAGCAGTATCAGACTCATATTCTGACTAGAATTGAGTAGGACTACGTCAGGCTACTACCACTGCACCACCAAAGCCCAAACCCACATATTTTAATATGCTAATATGTAACTCTATAGTCTATTAAAATCCTGAAATATCTTCTAATTGCGCTTCCTACTGGTGTGTTCCACAATGTGGGAAGACTTTTCAACAGTCTTTGGACAGGATAACTATTATTTCTTCTGCTCTATAGATCTGACCTCAGAGAAATAAAAGCAAGAGAAGTAAAAAAAATAAACTCTAATTGATTAGTAACTTTCTCGTTTCGCCACAAATCCTTTCGAAGAGGGAGCAGAAATTTGGAAGAAGGTGCTCTGGTTAGATGAAGTCAGATGGAAAGATTTCGCCATGTTGCAAAGCAACATGAGGCAGAAAACCAACACTGCAATGAACCCAAAAACACAGCATCTCACAGTGGAACATGGTGGTGGCTTATCAGGACTTCTAGTATCTTTCTGATGCTAAAATGAAAAGTATGATGAAACCTAGAAGGCATCTCTCAGCCGGAAGTTCAATTTAAAACACCTTTGAGATTTATTGCATACAACTCCAATAAAAATTACGAGGTTTGTGGTTTTAACCTGAGAAAAATGTGTGGATTCAGCTGTGAAATAGAATAAATATTTTGTCATAAGTGTTAAATAATTTCAAAAGTACTTTTGCAATTAAATCAAATGTGAAAACAGCTTGTTAACTAGTAATTATCCAATTGTTGCCTTCCTGTCTAACTTTTAGTGAGGAAAATGAATTTCATCCTCATTCTACTCCTAAAGATCACAAAAATATCTTAAATGTTTGTATTTCCATTTTAATTTAACTGTGTGCATCTTGTTTGCCGAGGAATCATTTTTAAATCTTTGTTGAACAAATTAGAATCTCTCTGTAGTTGCATCGTTTCACCAGCAGATGGAATCATTTACCCAGTTTTTCAATGTATTTCTGCAAACCATGCATTTCATGTCATCTTCATTTCTAATTAACACTATAAATATTGGAATAAACTGAATGTTTCTGTTTTAATTTCTCTTTGTTTGAAGCATTTGTTCAACAGAGATGCCATCTTTGTAAAGAAGCAGCACTGAAGGATCAGGAAAACACTGTTCCCGTTCTACTTAAAGCATCGCTAATGGGTTATAATAGTGTCATCTTAGTATCAGAGATATAAACTGACAGCAAACAGATGAGCGTGCATAAATTAATTATTTCCAACCCTTTTCATCTCTGATTGTCCTTATTAGTAAGTTATAAAGTCTCCCTTAAAAATAGATCCTTTCTCATCAAAGCTACATACCAGAGTAACGTGTTATTCAGGTAAGTTAGGTTTGTCGGGAAGCAGAGCAGTCACACATCCTGCACCTTCTGGGAAATGCTAGCTGCCCTTCTGCTACATTTAGCAGCAGCATCAGGAAATCATTTTTGTTTAGCCTGAGAACCGGTCTGTCCACTTCACTGCTCACCTGGAGGAGAGGGTTCACCTGACGTGTTTGCATCTTCCCTGCAGCTTGAATACAAAGCTGTTTTACATTTTACCCAAAAAAAATAAGGAAGAAAATAGTGTTTTAGTAAAGGTTCATGCAACATATTTTAAGTATGAGGAAATGCTGGACAAGCAGGAAGTTTGATGGACCGGCATGATACAAACGCATCATTCCTGCCTCATTCCAGAGACACAAAGAAATCAAGCTGGAATTTGTTCTGGAAGGTTACAGTAAAGTCAACAGCTGCAGTAAGGGTTACATTTTTTTTAGAAATGTTAAACTTCCATCTCTCTTAGTCTGTGTTAATGTTGTCCTAATATTAATTGGAATAAAATATCTCTCCATCCGGTTCCCCTTTGAAACTGGTCAGGGTCTTCTGAACCTGGACAGGTGAGAGGAAAGTAGTCCTTGGCTGCATTCAGACAGGATATTAGTTCCTCTCATGAGAATTGGAAGAGCTTATTTTAATCAGAAAAGGTCAGGGCAATTTCAGAACCCTAGTATTTGTTTGCCTTATCTTCTCAAAACCAGCTTTTTATGAGTTTTTAAGAGCATTGCCACTTGGAGTTTCCTGTCTCACTCAAAGAAAAGCACGTTTCCTGAAATATTCATGAACTTCTAAGGAGTCCGAAGGTGAGTTGATCATTAACAGGAAAAAGGGAAGTGGAGCCCTTGCTCTAAAGTCAGGACCTCAACGTTGGGCCGAAATTCCAGAAAATATAGATGAGACCAAGTTGGAGTTATAGGAAAACTGACGGTGTCAAAATGGTTTCCAAAAAGAAAGTTGTGCTAATTATCAAGCATGGCGGTGGCAGCATTATGCTGGAGAGTTTTTTTGTGTTTTATCACTTGTTTTTTTTTTTTTTTTTTGTTTATCATCACTTAGTTTCTTTAAGACGCAGATAAAATAAGTTCTTACATTATATCCTGATAAACCCTGATTAAATAGTGCAAATGATGTGGAATTTAAGATACGTTGGCAGGTAAATTTGACTATTAATGTTTTCATTGTTAAAGTGACATTTGAAGGAAATTTGTAATGGGAAAAAAGACTATGTAAGGTTGATATGGCACATTTCATTAGCAAGACAATTGAAAGTAGCCTCGTGAGACCATCCTGATCTCGCGAGCTTTCAAGATTTCACTCGCTAATCAGTCTGGAGACTCTCCGTCAAAGAAAATTTGGAGCCGTTCACCAAACGAACGTCAAATCAGCGTTGGCTTTGAGGCGGGTTGAGGTGTGACGCAACGAGAAGCGCGACAGTTCAGTCTAAAGAACATGGCGGCTTCAGCCGATGAAACTAGGGTTAGTGTGGCTATCGAGCAAGTTTTATTGGAATTACAGAGTATTTCTTCACTGAAAGAAGAGCAAAACACTGCTCTGGAGGCTTTTCTCAGAGGAAAATATGTTTTTGCTCTTCTCCCGACTGGTTTCAGCAAGAGTAGCCTGGCTGTTAGTACGTCATATGCTTCGTTGATCTGATTGGTTTATTTGGCCCGTCTATCACCAACATAGGCCAATCAGCTAACCAGTATTTTTGCCCCTTCCCAAAATTACTTTAACCGAAGGTTTCCAGATGGATATGTGAAGCAAATCCATCTGGCGGAGTCAGGTTAAATTGAAAGGGCTGTATGTGCAAAAACTTAATAGGAAAACAGACAGGGAAAAGTATCTTGCTGTGGCAAAGAGGCAATTATATAAATAAGGATTGTGAATAGTTAATATGTTAATAAAAAAAAAAAAGAAGGTAAGTAAAATAATAATTTTTGATTGCACAGCCGAAAGCAACGCTAAACAAATAAGTTTTACATCTTGATTTAAAGTGAGGGTTTCAGCCCCTTTACAGTTTAATGGGAGATTATTCCAGATTATTGGAGCTGAAGATGAGTCTGGAATGTATTTCTGTTCTTAGCCTTTCAGTGATTTATAGACGACAAGTATTTTAAAGTCTATTCTCTGATATATGGGGAGCAAGATGAAGGAATCTAGAACTGAGGGTATGTGCTTCACTTTCTTAGTTTTAGTGAGGACGCAGGCAGCAGCTTTCTGGATCAGCTGCAGCTGTCTGATCACCTTTATAGGCAGACCTGTGAAAACAATGCTGCAATAATCACATTGTTTTATCTTGGAGATATTTAAGTGAAAGAAGGCTGACTTTATTCCTCTCCGTATGTGACTGAAGGTCTAAGTCCATCACTACACCCAGATTTGGAGCCTGATGGTTGGTGCTAACTTTTAAACACTGTATAATAAAGTTCTGGCCTAAAACATGTTAACAAAGTTAAGATAATGAGTGAAAACCGGAGGAAATAGAAGATCTGGCTCTGTTAGAGAAGGAAATTTGATTACTGCCAGGAATCGTATCCCTTTATCTGATGTGCCCAGTAACTGCGGTATGAATATATGATAAAATGAAATTTATGGCTGATGCCATCTCTGATAGAGGAAACCATTGATCAGAGCAGGAGCATGGGCCACCAGCTATGTTTATCTCATAGTTACCTGGAACCGATGTCACCAAGGGACACTTTGGGTTATTATTTTTAGAGTTATTAGCTGATTTACTCGATTATAAATGGTTCCAAAATGAATATCTTAAAAAATGTCACTGACTTTATTATTGTTACCTGAGCCAACAGTGTGTAACTTTTGCTGCAAATACAGCTGAGCAGAAAAGAGGAGCAATTTTCAATTCTTGCTACAAATACTCATTGTAATTTAGGTCTGGACTTTGGCTAGACTTATTGACCTTAGCGATTCCATTGTAACTTTGGCTCCTGTAAGCAACATTATCTGGGTGGGCCCCATACAAAGTACAATACTCCACCCCCACCCCCCAATCTGCCATGTGTTGTGGTATAAATAAGGTACGGTCAGTCAATTAAGTATCAGGTGGGTTTGAGAGGAATTTTTGCACCATTACATCTGCAAAGAGACATCCTAGTCTACAACTGCATAGGGCGCCTACTAGTTGATCATGACAGGGCCTCTAAGAGGTTGGGGGCCCCTAAGCAACTGCAGTCTCTGCTTACCGATATTTATGCCATTGCTTTGGCTGTATATTTAGGGTTTTTACTCTGCTGGGAGGTTCATTTACACATTTTTACATATGAAAAGGCAGGGAAACAAATGCCAATACTACCGTTTTTTTTATGTTGTTGTTTTCTTACTACAATGCATTATGTATTTACTTGGTAATTGGTGTCCGTTTTGACTTAATTGTTCAATATTTATTGTTTGTTTGATTGAAACTATTACAATAAGCATAGAGCATCAGTTAACAAACCTAATGCCTCCATTACAGTGTATATAGCCATGGCTAATTCACAACATGCAACCCTAAAAGGACCTTTAACAGTTCCCCCCAAAAAATCCAATTATTTTAATATCAAATACAATAAATGCCCAGGGAGTAATGTAGATATACATATTTTTGAAAGTTTTTTATATACTTAATCATAACTAAAAGAAAAGTAAAACCTAACAGTTGACCCAATAAAAAAGCCCAGAATGTGATTTAGAACAGTCCGCTCAAGAATAACTTCTTTAAAAATGTTTAGTTCTTATTTATTTATTTATTTATTTATTTATTTATTTTATTTATTTCGAACAGACAGTAAAAACAATCAAGAAAGAAAAAAAAATTGAATGAAACAAACTTAAGAATGAAAGTATAAAACAAATTATTTTGCCCATGTGCATGTAAATTTTATATTTTCTGTTCGAAAAGGAGCAGGTAGAAGATACATCTTATAATGTCCTGCCCCTTTCCTACTTGTCAATTTATCCTCAATTAAATCTCAAAACATCAAAATAGTTCTTCATCCTCAATTAAATATGAACTGCTGTCCTTCAGAATTTTTAATGGTTGCATTTGCTCTTAAGAAAATAAAGTAAGCTCCCTTAATAAGAATTAAAGTCACAGTCAGTTGCGCTCAGTCACTTTTTTCAAATCTGTGTTTGAAAATGTTTCAACTTTTTTCCCCCTAAATGCATGATACTACCACCACCGTGTGTCACCATATTGTCACGGTTTTGGTTCTGTTCAAGTTTTATCTCTGAGTTTTCATTGGTCTTACTTCCATTCTTGTGTCGTAGTTATTTTTTATTGTATTGGAGTCCTTAGATATTTCCTGTTTGCCCTCTTGTGCCAGTCTCCTTTTCCCTAGCATCCTTCTTGCCGCATCTGTTCACACCTGCACCCAATCTGCTAATTAGCCTGGTCTTTGTTCCTCTCTGCCATATATTCTCCTCCTGTTCAGTCATTCTTTGCTAGTTTATCGTAATTTCTTTGCCCCTTTGTGAGTATTCCTGGTTTTCAGTATTTTTTGGATTTTGTGGATTTATGTTTTTGGATTTTTGCTTCTGTTGCTGAAAACCAGGAATAGTCACAAAGGGGGAAAGAAATGACGATAAACCAACAAAGAGTGACTGAGAAATAAGACCAGTGAAAACTCAGATAAAACTTTAAAAGAACCAAAACCTTGACACATTGAGAAATTCAATTCAGTTTATTTATATAGCTCCAATTCACAACGCATATAATCTCAAGGCACTTAACAGTTCAATGAGATCATACAGTCAATTTGATTCAAAGTTTTCTATCTAAGGAAAACTAGTTGATTGCATCGACTAATTGACTCAAATGCAATCCCTCACACCAGGCATGCTTGAAGCGACAATGGAGAGGAAAACTCCCTTTTAACAAAAAGAAACCTCCAGCAGAACCAGGCTCAGTGTGAGCGGCCATCTGCTGAGGCCGACTGGGGTTCAAGGAGACAGAAGCAGAGATACAAAAAGCAGCTGTAAAAGGCGCCTGGTCCAGGAAACACACAGCCAGGCAGATGAGCTCCGAGCCAGCTCCCATGTCAGAGGATGAAGAAAGCACATCCAGCCAGTCACAGCCAGAGAAACAGGATTTCACTGGAAAACAGGCCAATCTCCAACATCTATAAACAAAGGTGTTGATGGCAGCAGCACAGCGGATATTTCTCTCCAGGATGGAGTCACAGCCAAACAGGAACAGACCAGGTGAAGCAGAGGGAGCATAATGTTAGAGATTGAACTAATAGATTCTGCAGAGTGGGAGAATAGAGATAGAATGATGAAATAGAAATGTTTTAATATAGCTAAAATTGATCTAATTCTAAAGGAAATTCCCTTTGTTTTTATTTATGAAGACTAGGGTAAAGTAGGGAATAGAAACATACACCACTTTTATTTATTTATTTTTTTAATGGTAAAAAACACAAATGCATCGTTCTGCTTCTAAGTTAGAAGCCACATTGTGTGTCTCATAAACTCTTGGTAAAATGCACAGAGCTTCAGGTAGAATAACATTTCTCAGTTGGGTCAGAAGGCGGAGAGAGACTGGAACTGTAGAAAGTACCACGCGCGCGCACACCTTCACGCGCCCAGGACAGCCCTCCTTCCTCCTCCTCCTCCTCCGTCGCGCTTCTGCCCATGGACTCATCCCTCCCTCCCTCCCATCAGTCTCTCTCTGTCGGCTCTACCTTGCAGAACCAGTGGAAGCTCTTTAACTAACCGGGAACCTGCCAGCTGCGGTGAGAAGGAGCTGCTGGGGAAGGAAGCGGTGCTTCAGCGGCTGCTGTTGCCTCCCTCTCTGCAGCAGGAAGGGTTGGTTTTATTTTTTTCCTCGAGGAGCTCCTTACAGCCGCTTAAATTAACCACACACCTTACTGGCCAGAAGAAAAAAACAACTAAAGAAACAAAAGGAAACCGAACTGTTTATTTTATTTTCCTTATTGCTTAAAGAGGTAAGCTTCTTGGTGTGGGTGGTGCTTGTTTCACACTTCCTTCTCACTATGCAGCATGGCCCTCAGTTCAAATTACAAAATAAACAATATTTAGTTTAACTGTTTTTAAATAACTGTTTATATTTAACATGTAAACACACTTTGGAGCTTGTTCTCCAAGAGAAAAGGAAGCATCACCTTTGTTAACTTTTGACCCCTCCTCCTAATTAGTGAACAGATGTTGCAGCTGGCTGAAAATCAATAGAAACCATTTCCTGTTGGTTGGTTGGTTCTGCAAACAGCTGAGGGACATGGCTGCACCTTCATCAGCCTCACTGAGCTCTATTTGTTTTACAATGGTGACATAAAGTTAACCTCTCTGCATGGAGGTGGCTGTTATGACTTGGCAGCAATGGCAGCTTATCAAAGCCATGGTTTCTGCCTCAGTGTGATCTGCTGAGCCAGGTGTCTGCTGCTACTGTCACACTGAGGCAGAATCCTGTATCTTCTCACTGAACTCAGTGGAAACTTAAGACACCAAATGAATGAGCTTAAAGTTTGTGGAAATGTAAGGTTGAGTTTCTATAACTGCAGTAAAAATTATAGTTAGAGATATGCATCATAAGTAAACAGGATATGTTTGGGTTTATCTTCTATGGCTTTTATGAGCCAACTTTATAGTTCTTTAGTTAATAATATGAGCTATAAATACCCACATCTGCCCCTGTCAGACCTTCACTTGTAAGAAAATCATCTGAATTTCAAAGCCAGTGTCAGTGGGTTTAAAAAAGCCTCAGACTTGCTTTATGATTGAAGTCATAGGGAAATAATATTTAAATGTCAAACCATTCTGGCTTAAACATGTATATAAATGTACTCTTTATCAGACTATATTGTTCCAAAAGTTATACAATTTCTATTTCAAAAGCCAGTTATACGTGAGCCTGAACACCTAAATTCGGCCAATCATATATCAACGATCATCTGTCAATCTAATTTTTTCGGTCATAGCATCTTGATTCATATGTCGCAGCTAATATACGCAACGGTTGAAATAAGAATAATTTTCTTTCCCATTGCGTTCCGTCCCAGTGTTCACGGGGATGGACGTCTGTGTCTTCAGCAGGCGTAGAGCTAACAGAACTGGCAGCGTTGCGAGGCAAGGGCTCAAACATGTACGGCTGTTAGCCTTCTACACCAAACCAAGCTTCTGCTGCCCTGGCGTCCTCTTCCACAACATCTTCGTCCCACTTTCCTCCTCTGAAAAAAAATGTATGACGGAGGAGACTCATCCATGACCTCCGACACAAAACTTTCCTCCGCTTGCATGTTTCCGCTGCATATTATTTTAACTATTGTTCTCTGCATTCTGCATTTTTCTGTACACTGTGAGCAAAGTTTACATGTGCTTAATAGCACATACATTGCTTGTGCGCTGTTCTTGTGGATTACTTGGTGAATTGCCATTCATGTGGATTCAGATTTCTTGAGTTAATGCAAAATGCCATGACTGGAGGATTTCAGGATCTAACTAAGGCTAAGTTTACACTGCAGCCTGAAGTGACCCAAATCCGATTTTTTTGCCCATATGCATCCTAGATCTGATCTTTTCATGGCTGTCTGAAAAACACAGATCCGATTTTTTTCCAATCCGACCCACGCCACTTGACTCTGTGGTCCTGAATCCGATACGAATCTGATCTTTTCAAATGCGACCTGTATGTGAACGGCCAGGTTGCATTCGTCAGACCTGAACGTCATTAATACCCGACAAAGGTCACTATTATGCGTCTTGCTACACAGAAGCGGCAAGAAAAACAACAACCTTGGCAGACAATGATGCACAGAGCAGTATTTATGTTTAACCATAGTGAAAAGATTGTGTTTTTATCGTTGGGAAAGATCGCTAGATGCGTGCTGGCTCTAACATCCATGTTTACTTCTGGAAAAAAAGAGCACACTGGCTTGTGACGTCATTGCGTCCTCTACTGCGCATGCGGGACACTTGCGTTGTATGACTGCAGTTCACACAGGAGATCACATACAAGTCGCATATATTTGGAAATATGAACGGCAACACAAAAAAATCGGATTTTGCAAAAAAATCGGAATTGAGCATTAAGGCCTGCAGTGTGAACGTACCCTAACTAACTAAGCTACGTTTTAAAGAACTCGAAAAAGAGAAACCCAGTTAAAGAAGCTATTTATGCTGTTACATCTTGACATTGATCACAGATATTTTCATTGAGATGAAGTTATCAGTGTGCTTATTTGTTAAGATAATGTTTTTTCAAGTCCAATTAATAATTGTAGACTTAAAAATTATTTTCTTGTGAAATATTTAATTTACCTCTAGCTAGCCTCTAAGCATTTAAGTCTGATTTCAGGTAATATTTTGATCAGAAGATTATTTTGACATCAGTCCAACTGATTCCTGATATGCGCTGCTGATTATTAGACCAGATATTGCTTTTTTCTTCCTCTATTTACATGATAAAAATGACAACAATGATAAAGTTACACAATTCTCAATTTAAACAGAAGACAAACATTTAGTAACAAATCTAACTAAACATAACAATATATAGCAAATGGAGGGAGCCTCCAAGTTGAGCAAATGAAATATTGTAATAAAATAAACTACAACCTATTTTAAATCACTAAAACTACCATCTTCACAGTACAATTATTTGAATTTTAGCTGTTAATTCTACGGTGTATCAGGATTTAACATTTCTATCAAAAAAAAGGTGTCAAAATTGGCCATTCTTTCATTTTATTTCTACCACGCCCCCTTCAATTACACTCTGCATTCCCTAGAGGGCGCATCCCACTGTTTGGGAACCACTGCACTAATGAATGCTCTAATGCAAGCATAAATTGACCGATGCAATGCAGAAATAAAACACTTATATCAGCCAGAAGACATATCTGTATGTAGGATTGTATGTTTGCATGTATCAATCTTTACTTCAAGGCTGTACAATCCCTTTTTTATTTATGTATTTATTTCCAGCAACTTCTTCCTGTTCATCTTTACATCAAATTAGGTTTTTCTTTAAATCCTTTATTGAACACATTCATGCTGTTGTGTGTGGTTCTTGACTATGAGAAAATTAACTGAATTTGATGTTAAGCAAAGTGTGGGAACCTTGAGTTACTTTTTGTCAGTGTAATACTTTAAAACATGACTTTACTTTTAACAAACATAGGTTTGGCCTCCTATTTTACAATGAAGTAAAGTTGTGAAAGAGGGTCATTCTTACTGCTATCTATGAGCAGCGGAGTTTCAACATCAACCAGCACAGAATACAGGACAGGTCTATGGTTGTATGAAAGCTGAAGCTGAGGATTATGTAAAGGCTGAGAAGAATTAGTGCAACTCAAAGAACAACTAAAGTTGATTTCCTCTTTTTTAAAACTAAACACAATAAATCTTTTTTGGCATTAGTTTAAAAATGTTTATGCAATACTAAAGGATTGTTCAAACTAGGGCTGCAAATAACGATTATTTTGCAAATCGATAAATGGATTCATTATCGAATAGCCAAATAATGAAGACTTTTTATGAAATTTAACCAGGTGAAACTAAAACATTTCCATTTTAGTTCTGGATAGAGCATATTGAAAGACTTTTTTTAAATTTTATTTTAACTGCAAAATGTGAATATATTTTTTAAAATCTTGGTATAATTACTGCTCTAAGTGGGTAGCTCTGTCAGCCGAAGGCATGTTTTAGAGTCTCTACACTCCAGTTAATGAGTAATTGATTACTAAATTAGCTGACGATTACTTAAATAATCGATGAATCACAATAAATCAAATTAATTAAAAGTTTCAGCCTTGTTCAAACCTGCACACCTCTAGTGTGTTTATCATTTTCCATCCAAAGTTTTTGGAGCCCACATTAGTTCCTAATGTATTTGTGGGAGGGAAATTTTCCTGACTCATCCTCTCATAACCTGCTGATTACTGTGAGCCTAATTGTGTTGATGCGGTAAATGACATGCTAGTTAAAATGTGCATTCATGATCATCTTCTCATGTCTTTTCTCAGCTGGCCTTCATAATGCCAGCAGATAGTATCTACAACCTCTACCCCTCTCAGAAAACCTCCATTTGGCCAATTTAAATCTGAACAGACCGGCTGCTCGGACTGCTAATGGGTCCTGCATGTAGTTGAGTCCTGCTCTGGTCTCCAAGGAGACAGGTAGAAAGAGGCAGGGCAGCTTCTGATTAGTGCGCTGCTCTCTCTGTTTAATACCCAAGGCCGTGCAGCTGCTCCCCTCCTCCCACTGTTTGGTCAACGAAACATAAAAGGCTCTAATGGCAGGTAATCTCACATCTGCCCTCAGGAGAGATAAGAGATATTCCTGCTTAACATAAAGCAGCTGGCGTAGCTTCGTTGATGAGAAACCACAACTTTTAAACTTTTATATTCATTTTTCACTAATTCTTGTCTGTACATTGTGGATAAAACTGAAGATGTAGATTTTTTCCCCCCAACAATTAAAACCACAGTTACTTTACTTTTTATTATGTAGCTTTCATGGATTTTGTATTTTAAAAAGGCTATTAAGTTTCAGTCAAGAATAACGTCTGCATTGTATTCATCCAAAATCATAAAAATACACTGCAACAATTTTCAAGTGAAATAAAATGACTCAAATGGCATTTTTAAAGGTAACTTATCAAGATGTCCTGTCAGGCAAATGATTGCTGACAACTGTGTAGCTCTTATATGCTAAGAGAACTGTTGGGAGGCTCTTATCCTAAAGGAACTATCAAACGAAAATGTCCTACTTCCTCTTCCTACCTCATTCTTTACTGCCAGTTTACAAAATTCAGATTTTTGAAACTGGCAGGGGGGATCATCAAAATAAGTGGTCTTCCTAATTGTCAATTATTCTGGTGATATGTTAATGTAAGACCGTCCTTTGTGCTCGTCCCCATTTTCACTTACCGGTGGTGAATCTGACATAGCGGAAAAATTGCAAATCTTTTGAAAAGTAAGCTTGTATGAACGATGCAAACAGCGACTTTTAAACAGAGCATGCACGAGGAGAAATGGGCTCATGCATGTTCTGCACATGTTTAATAGACGTTCCCTCTTGGGAGCAGGTTACAGGGTTGTGCATGTGCTTTTTTTTTTTTAAGAGGAGAGGGTGAAAATCCTCCACTTTACCTTTTTAAGTTTTGGGAAAAAAGTCCTTATTTGATGTATTTAGGGAATTAATCACCATACAGTTTGCTGTCAAGCTCAAAGCTAATCTAAATAACTTAAAACATCTTTAATTAGGACCGGACGATGTGGCCAAAACTTATATCGTGGTAGATGTGCTAAATTTAGTCTATGTGTATGGTATTGATATGAACAAAATAAAATACCAAAGACTGACAAGTTTACTTAGAACAGAATCCTGTACAAACTTATTATCCAATATAACATTAAAGAAATATTTGCCTTAAAGACAAAACTAGACAAAATCCATAAAGCCACGAACATGAGTCAGTAACAAATTATTTTTTAAATAGACTTTAATAACAGCTTAAGTTCTGCATCTGAACAGTTTATTCTATAGATCATTTCCGGCTCTTCAGACTAGAAACTATTTTTTTTCTTTACCTTTTCATTTCTTTGTAACATATCATGGAACATATATAATGTTCAGACTTGAATTGCTTAAGTTTTAAGTGCAGATTAAATTTGTTTTCTTATACTCAGTCAAAATCCTCAAATTCAGAGTCAGGAGAGAAAAAATATCTGGAAAAAAAAAGGTTAATTCAGAAAATCAGCTTTACCTAGACTGAGTTTATTGCACCAATTTTACTTATTTTAGATATTGTTATACTTCTAATGAGTTAATATTGCACAGTACTATTTGTAGTCTTCCTTCAATGTTTAACATGTTGAATAAATTGTTAATATGTTAAATTAAGATTATTGACATGATTTAAACTCATAGCATGCAGCAGTGCAGCGTAATAAGCAGACTAGATGCATCTGATCTGATGTTTCACATTTAAAAGTGAGATTTGACTTGGAAAAACAAAACTTGTCGTTTTTTACACCAGCTGCACTGAATGCCAACAGTTAAAATGTACGAAATGCACATTGATTCCAGATGGCCTCATGTTTTAATGCATTTATATTAAAGGGATTATTTTGTCCTTCCTGGTGTCTAGATGGCATCGAACGACTCGCGGCTACATCAGCCCCCTCCTCAGAGAGACGCAGCCGACCAGAACTTTGACAGCATGTTCAAGCTGCTGATCATCGGCAACAGCAGCGTCGGGAAAACCTCCTTCCTGTTCCGCTACGCAGACGACTCCTTCACCTCTGCGTTTGTGAGCACCGTGGGCATCGACTTCAAGGTCAAAACCGTCTTTCGCAACAACAAGCGGATCAAGTTACAGATTTGGGTGAGTGGATGAAACCCGGGATCTGTGATGCGATACCAGATCACCACATTGCATTTAGTTGTTCAGCTGAAGGCATCGATATCAGACTCATTCAAACTTGAAAATGTTTGTTTACATTGAAAATATTTAAACTAAAATCCACTAAGACAAGTGAAGTGTTTCTCTCTGTGGGTTCAACCATTGAGCAAGTTTATCTTGTCAGTCGTGCATGTGAAAAAACAGAATTTCCTTAAGTTTTCACATTTTTACTTTCTGCTGTTTCCTTGTATCTACTGAAAGTTCACAGTCGATGCGTGGAGAGATCGATGGTGCTGATTATGGAGGTGCGGTGCACGTTTCAGGTTTCCAGAGCTGTGCTTGGTCCAACGCAGCCTCATTTAAGCCTGGCTTTAAAGAATGTTTTTTTTTTTGCAGCAGCACTAGTGGCTCCTATAAAGTATAAAGTTAAAGCACTGATTTTTTTTTTTGGTTTGAAGAGATAATTAAGGACATTTGAGTAAAATTAGTTTTCAGTTATCCTCTCCTTAGTCAAGTTTTTTGTGTCTTCTGTTCAGATTAGTTTAGGCTAGAAGCTAATTCGGGGGTCTATGATAAAAAGGGACACCTACTGTAGAGTCTTCAAACAATCCTGATCTCACACATATCATTGCAGTTTATGCAAGACACTAGCATATAAAACTTTAAAACATCGCCTTTTTTGCAACAGTTGGTTATTTATACAAAGCATTTTATTATTTAGAGAAGACGTGGAGCTTAAATGGGGCATGGATTCAATTAACTTCCTGTCCAGTCAGTATCCCAGAATAAAGAAAAGTTGGCAGAACTCAACATTTTAGGAACATTTTAGGAAAGTGTTCCAGGTTTTTATGGAATGCACAAGACTAAAGATAATGTTTAACCTTTTAATTAGTGTTTATAGACTTTTTATAGGAGGAGTTTCCCAGAATAGAAGAAATAAGCCAAAGGCCCGACTTTAAAATTTTTGAATCAGTGAAGCAAAGATGGCCGTTTACCTGTCCTGTAGAGACAGACTGCTGGAGGGAGCTTACCTTGATGCTGTGGCTCTGTGGAAGTGCAACGTTAAAGCCAGAATAAGGCTGGAGTTTCACTTCCACAGAGCCACACAGAACATGGAGGATTTTATTCAGTTGTGGGGTTTTAGCATTTTATTTGATGTGTCCAATGAAGGAGAACTACATTTAAAAAAGCTCTTTGAATTGTGTAAATAAAGTGTCAAAAGTCAACATTTTTACGAAACAACCTTCCACAAAAAAAAAAAAAATTATTTACAAAAATAAATAGAAATGTAGCTCTATTACACATTTATGACAACATTTATAACAGTCCAGGATAACTTACACCGCTGGAGTCTAGTTGTTGCGGGAAACAAGAGCTTGCCAAATGTTCTTAGCTCCACACTGAATGTGTAATAACCGACACATTCACATGATTGGTAGCATCTCTTTAGCAGCACTTTGTGTTTTTTAAATTGAATATTAAAAGAATGTTTTTCCTTTAACTAAAAGAGCTACTCCATAAGTTGGTTTTCCCCCATTTCACAGCAAAAACACAAACATTAGCTAAACTTTTACCTTTGTAAATACTATCAACTCACTCGATAAAGTAAAGAAATACAACTACTTTGGTTTTCTGAACTGACTTGAATTATTTTTTCCTTATTAAACCATCAGTGTTTAGGGTTTACACAACTAAATATAATAAATATAATAGTTTTTCGGCTCAATAAAAGAAAAAACTAACTAAAACTTCCTTGTTTTAGTTTTTTTTTTCTTTTTTTTTTTTTTTGCCTAAAAGTCAGTAAAAGCATTTTCATTTTATCCTCCTAATTTATTTGTTTATTTAGGATTTATAACAGCTCCTATTTAATGATAGTTCTGTGGTTTATAAGATGGTATTTTTTACACAATACTGCAGTTTTTCCCTGATCTGTCTGAGCTCTGATAGATTTGGCCTCTGGCTTTGTCCTGTCGTTCCAACAGTCTCAGGTTTTTAATCATGCAGAGGGGATTGGCAGACTAAATATTTTAGCATTTTTGTGTTTGTGTGGATATGACTTCAGACATATTTCACAAAAGTTGCAGATAATCTCAAACTGAGGAAACTCTCTTCATATTTCTAGTCGGTGCCTGGTGCTTCAGCTGCTCACTTTTCCCTCCTACGCTGGGAGCTTTTCCTGGATATCAGAGCAGAGGACTCGCATTAGTACAAACTGGGCGTTCACAATACATTTCTGGATTATTTACAGGATGCATGTTCCAATCTGTTCTGATTTTTCTGTTTTTTTCACCCATAATTTCCCTAAGTTAGTGGCCTGGTCATTCCTGCTTCACCCACCTGCCTGCATCTTAGTGGAGCCATGGATCCTATTGGCAAATCAAACAGATGATTCATTTGAACTAACAATCTGTGAGCCACGGTATGTTGGGCAAACAGCATTATTGGCAGCAGAGGAGCCCACACCAAAACACACAGCCGGTCACCTTCGTGACCAAACACTTGGTTCTTATAAACGGAGTAATGATCTGTAGCAAAATGTACCGGGAGTTCTCAAACTTTGACCCATTTAGCCTCTTCAAAAACAGACATGAATCAGTTTTATTTCTTATGTAACAGACAGAATTTAAATACTGCAACTTTGCCGACTCATCATTTAACAGGATAATCTTTTACCACAAGAACAGCTGCAGTTCTTTTTTAATCTTTATCACTTCAAGACATCTAGATTGAGAGTGTTGTGTCAAGTAACCTTTGAAAAATAGCATTTTTTTTTTTTTTTTACTTTTGCCTCAAATTTTATATTCCCTTTTTTCTGTACCTTGACTAGGCAATCTCAGTAGATTATCATCTTTTAAACTGTCCCCTTGTCTTAAGTCTTTTAAAGAATCTAAAAGTTTAAAGACAAATTAGTTTTGTAACTTCCTGCTTCCTGCTGAAAAAAGTTTCCCCAAAGCATGATGCAGCCATCATTGTTTCTCACCATTGGAAACAATAGGCTCCTCCCAGACTTTTACTATATGGCTGCTATTTCAATCTGAAAAACTCACAAAGAGGAAAGACAATTAGAAGAAATGTATTGATACAAATAGTCATTGGTCTTTGGCGCTCAGATCTCGGCAGGAAACATAGGGTTGAATTTTGATAGATGCTGATGAAGGTTCTCAGTCATCCAGGTCATAGTCATTCCGTAAAAATTCAAAAAATATCCACTGGACTTGGTTTTCAAGATTTGAAGACGTTTCGCCACCTCTCCAGGAAGCTTTCTCAATTCAAATGTCTGGATCCGCAGTGAGTTTGAGTCTTATATAGACAACGCCTTGTATCGCTTGGAAACATGCAATGGAAACCGATGAATGGGTCGTTAGTTCCATCGTTAGCCTGTAATATCTGAACCTGTCTATGATTCTAGGGGTCAGTCGTTAAAGGGGGGATTGTCATTAAGGGGGGGATTGTCTCCTGTAATACCTGAAACCTGTCTATGATTGTTAAGGGTTGGTCGTTAAAGAGGTATTGTTCACCGGCTGGAGCGGGTAGGTCCCTCGTTCCTCTGTGATGGGGTGGGGGGTTTGGTGATATCTGGAAGGGATCATGTCTATGATTGAATTGTATGTTTTTGGAAGCTGGAATCTGAGTCCACCACCTCTGTTTAAAGTTGGTTTTTCTCTCTTAACATAGATGGCTTCCTTCACGCCCCTCTCAAACCACCTATTTTCTTTATCCAGAATATGGACATTCTGGTCCTCAAAAGAATGTCCTTTGTCCACAAAGTGTAGGTGTACTGCGGAGTCTTGTCCAGAGGCGGCCGCTCTTCTGTGTTGGGCCATGGGTCTGTGGAGAGGTTGTTTGGTTTCTCCAATATAAAGATCAGAGCATTCCTCACTGCACTGAACAGCATAGAAAAATTTTGATAGATATGCATGAACAGCAGTAAAGAACAGGCCTGTTTCCACCGAAGGCCTGAAACTGGTGGTGGAGTGGAGATAGATAGATAGTGTAGTTGGTCAGTCTGTAGACTGCTGGTTAGTGAGACGGTCTGCAGAGCTTTATGGGGAGATCCAGTGGACTGCATGGGCTGATTCTAGAGCTTCACTCAGGGACCTGGAAGATGGAAGTCCAGTTTGGATAACACAGGTTGAGAAAACTTGTCCATGATGAGCAAGCATGAAGCGACAGTGGAGAGGAAAAACTGCCCGCTGGGAAGAAACGTCTGGCAGAACCAGACTCAACGTGGTGGTCTTCTGCTGGACCAGTTGAAATGAGACTCAGAATGCAGTAAGAGTCCAGGAGGAATGAAACTCTGACAAAGTTTTAGCGACGATATTGGAGGAGGGGATGGAGGTGGGTTGAAACGGTGTCTCTGAATGAAGTCACACAGCGCATCCGCCGCCTGCGCACAGACAAGTTGCGTATCGGAGGCCTTATTAGATGAACTTTGGATGCTAATTGGCTTTTATGGAGGTGTGGTTCAAAGCCGATCGGCTGTGTCGGAGGTGGATGTAGGAGAGCAATCAGTTTCTTCAGTTGAACTTCCGCCTAGGCTCTATTTCACAAAAATACATTACATGTAGCTACATTCCATTTATATAATAGATGCCGTATGAAAACAGGCTGCTTTTGGTTGTATTGAATACATCAACATAAAGTTGGCTGGTGCATGTCAGTCTTTTCGGGGGGGGGTTCTTGTTTTTATGGAAAGCCATTTCACTTTCCTATCAACGCATTAACATGCTCGACTTTACTGTTGGCCTGTCCCATAAAAATCCCGCTGAAGTAGTTTAAAGTTTGTAGCCAATAAAAGTGAATCACATCCATTTGTGTGAGCATTTTGCAATGATTAGCTGAACACAATGATCTGAACTTCCAATAAAAGGTGACCAGAACACTGTGTGTGACTGCCTGGTCTCTATGGAGCCCCTAGTGCAGCCAAATGACAAAGAAAGCTGGTATTTCCTAAGTCCAGGAAGCAGAGGAAGTCTCCTATC